GGATGCGCTGGGGGTGCCCCCGGGGGGGGGGGGAAGGACCCGTTTCTTGGGGGGGGCGGGGGGTGGCGCCCCCCCTGGAGTGTCCCCCGCGGGGGGGGGGGGGGTCAGGCGGAGCCCACGGAGCCCTCGTGGGGTCACGTCCCCCCTCCGCGCCTGAGGGTGGGAAGGGCAAAGCTGCGCCCTGGCAAAGACACCCCTCGCCCCCCAAAAGGGGTCTTAGCCCCTGGGGGGGGGGGCACAGCCCACCCGCTCCCACCTTTGTGCCAGGCCGGGCTGTTTTGGGGTGGGGGCTGTGAACTCCACCGGGTGCCCCCCCCACCCGTGAAAACGGGGTCCAGGCCCCGGGGATCGCCCGGGGTGGGGGTCCAGCGATGCCCCTCGGGGTCGGGGTGCCCGGTGGAGGGTCCGGCCAAACCCCTCGGGGTCGGGGCATCGCGGTCACGCGAGTGGCATCTTCCCGGTGCCGGGGAGGGGATGGGGGGGTCAGCCCCGACCCTCTCTCTGCTCCAGCAGCAGCGGGTTGGGTGGGAGCGCCTGGAAGACCCCCCTGCCCCAGCTCCCAGCTGCCCCCAGCCCCGCTCCCTCGGGATGCAGAGGGAGCAAGGAGGGATGGAGTGGGGGGGGGACACGCCTGGAGACCACCCCTTTGCAGGGAGGGACTGGAAAACAGGGAGAACAGGGGGCCGTAGGGGTGAGGGGCTTTGCTGGAGGGGGCTCAGGACCAGGTGCTTTGGAGCAGCGCGATCCCCCCGTGGGAAGGAGCTGTCACGGGCCACTCGCGGGAGTCACAGACACACACACACAGAGGGAGGCACAGCAGCCCCGTTTGCTCCAGACAGGAGCATTCCCAATCCAAGGGAGCCCCCCAAGCACAACAGGGTCCTGGAGGGGGTTTTTGGGGGGGCTCGGGACGGTCCCACGCGTGGGGAGCGCGGCGGGAGCGCGTCCCGTGCCCGGAACAGCCGCGTTCTCTCAATGAGCGGCGCTGGGAACGGCCACAGGCCACGCCCCCTCCCCCGGGCGCTGGCCAATGGCGAGCGGCGCTGCCGGTTCCGAGCGCGCCCATTGGCCGGATTTAAATGGATTGTTTGGAGTGAATGGGGAGGGGG